TATCTCTGAAAAGTAAATAATATTATTTAAAATGAAAAAATTAGATATAACCCAAATGCTCACCAGCATGAAAATGGGTCAGAAAATTATTTATATGTACAATGGAATATTATAGCAGCCAAAAGGATAAACTACAGCAGAACACTACAATGTGGATGAATCTTTGAAAACACAATGTCGAGTGAAAGGCCTAGAAAGTTATAAACAGTATGAAACTCTTTCTGTACAGTTTAAAAATAAAACTGAAGCTATATCTATTGTTTAGGCACCTGCATATTTGTAATAATATTTTAAAAATAAGATAACAATGGACGTGGTTCCATAGTGTAGTGGTTTGCACATCTGCTTCACACTCAGAAGGTCCTGGGTTTGCACCCCAGTGGAGCCACAGTCTATGGTCTGTGGCCATGCCATCCTGAACAAGCCCGATGTCTGATCTCGGAAGCTAAGCACAGTCGGGCCTATTTAGTACTTGGATGGGAGACCATCTAAGAAGACCAGGTGCAGTAGGCATAAATAATAATAATAAATAATTTTAAAAAATAATAAAAGTAAGGTAACAATTTAGACCAAGTTCAGAAGTGGTTGCACAGCAGGAGAAAGATCCATTCTGGGTTCCCAGTTTCTCAGAAAGTGCCCACTTATTAAAAACGTGAACTAAAAAAATTAAATAAATAAAAATAAATATAAGTGATTATGTGGAATGTATGATTTGTGAAGCGGTATAAAGTGTGAAAGCTGATTAAAAAAATTATCTCTTCAGATCTTAAATTTGTTGAAATTTATGTTTAGGAAATTTCATGAGGACCTTGGCTGTGTTTTTTTGTTTTGTTGCTTTTTATTTTACCTGAGTAAAATGTAATCATTGGAGTAGAGTGTTGAAGTTGCAAAGTATGGAGGAAAACACAGACGTTAGGGCATCTAGACAGAAGCAGCTTGAAATCCCAGATCTGCCACCCGCTAACTGTGTGATCTTCCGCCAGTCACTTTGGTTTCCTTATATATAAAGAGAGGATATCAATATGTACTTCGCAGGATTCTTATGAGGATTTGATGTGGTATTTATAAAGTATCTAACGGAAAATAGAAATTCAATAAATGATAGCTACTTTAAGTAATTTTTACACATTGTATAATAGGGATATTGGGCATAACAAATCAGCCAGTTGTCTTATAATAGTAACTGAGTAAATATACTTTAAAAGGAATGTAACTTCTACTTTGAAATGTGAATCTTGTTTGCTTTGAATCAATCATAATGTGGAAAATTGGGGCTGTATAAGCAACTAGAACATAATGATATCTATGTCAGATCACCATCTTGGATTTGAACTTCACATAAGCTTATCAGTTCTGTTTTAGAGCCACAGACTGTACCCCAGCCCTCTTCCCCACTATCTTATAAACATATGCCTTTATTTACAAGTGGGATCAAATGAAAAGTAGTTCAATACATCTTATAATTAGTATGTTTATGAGAAAAAAGACTGAGAAAAAAAGTTTGAGGTTTGTATGTCTTACTGATGACAATATTACCTTTATATTCTAAGCTAATATGTTCACTTTGTGAAGACCCACATGTAAAAACTGTACTAAGCAACATTTAGAATTATTTTGTCTTCTACAAATAGAATTTCATAGTAAATTCATTGCTTATGAACAATGAGTAACTGTGCTGAAGACTCAAGGGTGTTTACCTGCAAACAGGTATAACCAGACAGTGGAAGTACAGGTTTTCCTGCCCACCCACAGTTCTTGTTTCTGAAAGAGCTGCTAATATCTCCTCAAACTGTTATATCCGGGAAACTCAAGAATAACCAGTGCAGGGAGGTTTTTCTCTCCTTGACAAGAATTTTAGTTACTTTGGGCTTCCCTCCCTATGTCCTCTAATTGGAGAGAGGATCTTTGGAAGAAAAGTTAACCAAGTTTCTCTGTTTATTAACCTGGATGTTCTTGTTGCAGTATGTTGTAATCAATCTGAGTCTCTTGTTCAGGGTTAGTAAATGCTTATTGGCTGGTTGGTTGAAAAATTGTCATGGTTTGTATGACAGGCTGATTTGGGGTATTGGTGGACCCCAGGCAATCCCAGAGCATTCATATTTATTCACATATTCACTTTTCTTTATTTTAAGAATGTGTCTGTGACCTAGAGTCCTGTGTCATATGTACAGATAGCTAGGACTGTTTGGCATTGTGGTTCCAAGAACTATTCAGTGTAAGTTTAAATTAAAGGTTTTAATGGCTGCTTACTATGTTTTGAAGTATTACATGGCTTAAAGGAACTATAAACTATCCCCTTTTGGCTTTAATGTGTAAGATGGAAATATGTCTAGCTAGAAAGGAATCAAACCATAATTAAATATGAATGTGATTAATGAAGGCTTGCGTTCAGTATTTGCACATGCCAACTCTGCTTCCTCAAAAAAGTGCTGCATGCCCAGTGCCTGATTCCTGGTCTCAATGAATACTTAATGAATGAGTGAATGAATGAATGAATGAACAAACGAACAAAGGAATAGTTCTGGGTCCAGATCTAGGATAATATTGGAAGAGATTTAAATAGAAGTGAGTAAACCTGGAATATTTTCTTTTCCTTAGCAACTCGTTCATTTTCTTCCTAATTTTAAATGTGGATATACTTATATGCATTCTTACATTATGCCAGTTTGCTTTCTCTAACAATATGAAAATGCCTGTTTACCTATGGAATCTGGTTCTTAGCATTTTTTCTTTGAGCTTGATCTCAAGTTAAGATGAAGCATTTGTGAAATTTTAAACTCAGTGAGAATTTTTTTTTTTTAGTTTTTAGAAATTAGTAAATCAATGTATCCCTCTGATAAGAAATCCCTAGAATGAAATAAATCATCTTGGAATGTATTTCTTGAAGTCGTATGTTCCCCCTTAGAACCAGACCCTTAAAAACACACACACATTTGTTTTCAATAGTCATTTTCAAAGAAAATCTTTATCGCCCCTTATCTCCTTATCATTCACATAGCTCAGAAACCAAGGTATAAATGTCTCATTGGATAATGTGGGTGTGTATGAGTAAGTGGGTGAGTTGGTTGGTTGGTTGAAGAGAATATGATAATATGCCCTTTAGTTCTAGCATGAGAGAATTTTTTAAATATAACATGGTTTTATCTTCTGATTGGAAACATAATGCATGCTTAATGCAGAAACTTGGTAACTAAGCAATATCAAAATGGAGGAATTACCATTAATTGGGAAGGATTTTTCTTTTTAAAAAATTTTGTTAAATTTATTGAGGTGACATTAGTTAATAAAATTATATAGGTTTCAAGTGTACAATTCTACAATACATCATCTGTGTATTGCATTGTGTTTTCACCACCCAAAGTCAGATCTCCTTCTGTCACCATATATTTGACCCCATTTATCCTTTTCTAATTCCCTCTCACTCACTTTTCCCTCTAGTAACCACCATACTGTTGTCTGTGAGTTTTTGTCTTGTTTGTTGCTTTCAGTTTTATATCCCCACATATGAGTGAAATTTTATGATTCTTGATGTTTCTCATCTGACTTATTTCACTTAGCATAATATTCTCAAGATCCATCCATCTTGTTGCAAATGGCAGCATTTCATCTTCTGTTATGGATAAGTAATATTTCATTGTATATATGTACCACAGCTTCTTTATTCAATCATCTATTGAAGGGCACTTTGGTTGTTTCCGTGTCTTGGCCATTGTGAGTAACGCTGCAGTGAACATAGCGGTATATATATCTTTACGAATAAATGTTTTCAAATTTTTCCAGTAGATACCCAGAAGAGAGATTTCTAGGTCAATGGTAATTCTATTCTTAATTTTTTGAGGACCTTCCATGCTGTTTTCCCTAGTGGCTGTACCAATTTATATTTCTACCACCAGAGGGTTCCTTTTTCTCCACAACCTCTCCAATAGTTGTTGTTACTTGTCTTGTTAATAATAACCAGTATAACAAGTATGAAGTCGTATCTCGTGGTTTTGATTTGCATTTCCCTAATAGCTAGTGATGTTGAGCATCTTTTCATATATCTGTTGGCCATTTGTATGTCTGCTTGGGAGAAGTGTCTGTTCAGGTCCTCCGCCCATTTTTTAATTGGATTGTTTTGTTGTTGAGTTGTATGGGTTCTTTATATATTTTGGATATTAACCCTGTATAGGAGATGTTTGCAAATATCTTCTCTCATTTAGTTGGTTGCTTTTTTGTTGTTGATGGTTTCTTTTGCTGTGCAAAAGCTTTTTAGATTGATATAGCTCCATTCATTTATTTTTGCTTTTACTGCCCTTGCCTTTGAGGTCAAACTCATAAAATCCTCTCTAAGACCAAGGTCCATAAGTTTGGTACCTCTGTTTTCTTCTATGTGTTTTATTGTTTCAGGTCTTATATTTAGGTCTTTGATCCATTTCAAGTTAATTTTTGTATATAATGACAAATGGCAATCTAGTTTCATTCTTTTGCATATGACTTTCCAGTTTTCCCAGTACCATTTATTAAAGAGGCTTTCTTTTCTCCATTGAATGTTTTTAGCTCTTTTGTCAAAAATTATTTGCCCATATAACTATGGGTTTATTTCTGGGCTCTCAATTCTTTTCCATTGGTCCGTGTGTCTGTTTTCACTTTTTTAACTTCAAGGTTTTTTCTTTCATTTCTCTTCAGTGTAAAAGGGCAGGTCTTTGTACCTGGAGAAGAAATTATACATGCCCGAAAGTATGATATTTAAAGAAAATCTACTTTAGCTTTTCTTACAACACCTTTAGCAGAGTAAAGGATTTTAATAGCTAGGTATATAAGGATAAAAGATGGAAGTAAATTATGTGCTTCTTAAATTAATCTAGCTGCCTCTTTTATCATCTTTGCTATGGAGTATTACCTAGTGTTAATTGTCCTCTTGTTATCCAGCTCTTTTATCTCAAAGTGAGAGGAATTGATGCAGATATGTGCATTGTGTTATGTCTGATCACAGTTTGACTAGCACAGTCTGGAAGTGGGTTGTGCAGGATGCGATCGAGCAGCCTAATTGCTCCCCCTGCATCAGCAGCATCTATAAAGCATCCTGGGAATTGCTTGCCTTACTGTTCAGAGCAGCTGGTCACATGAGCCTGAATTTTCAGTTCAGTTCATTAGTCAGCCATTTTGGTCAACACCCTGCTTACTGCGCACAACCAATCCTATTAGAACTCAGCATCCCGGCTCATCTGAGCAGATCCTGGAAGTGATTTCGGCAGTTCAGGATTTTTATAAAGCTAAATTGAAAATATTGGTTTATATTTCTTTCATATTTTTTTCCTTTTGTAATTTTTTCTGCACCAAGAAGGAGGATTTTTCACTTATTCATGCAGAGGCCAGTTTTTTATAGCCCACTAAGGTGGCATCGACTGTGTAGGATTTAAAGCCTATATAGCTCAGCTGAAAAAGAAGGGGGTTGGGAAGGGAAGATAAAAGGAGAGAAGCTGGGAGAAGACAAGCATTATCTTATTTTGCTATGTGGTAGGAACTGTTTATGAGAAAAGATAGCATAGAATTGTTTATCTTGAACAGTTGATTCTTAAACCATAAGGTATTTTTCCTTGTTATTTTTTTTGTTTGTTTGTTTGTTTTTTTAAAACTCCCCCACCCCTTTTCTTGAGAGCTTTGTTCCAGAGCTTTGAATTTGGGGTTTTTTGGTGAGGAGGTTTTATTTATTTTTGTGGAGTGCGTGTTTGTGTGTGTGTGTGTGGGTGGGTGTGTGTGTGTGTTGTGGTCCCAGCTGAGTCATCATGTCTGCTCTGACGCCTCCGACCGATATGCCAACCCCCACCACTGACAAGATCACACAGGCTGCCATGGAGACCATCTACCTTTGCAAATTCCGAGTGTCTATGGATGGAGAATGGCTCTGCCTGCGAGAGCTGGATGACATCTCACTTACGCCTGACCCAGAGCCTACCCATGAAGGTATGGTCAGACCCTGTCCACTAGTATCTCACAGTATCCTCATTATTACGACAGACTGGGAAGGTCTAACTTGTTAACAACTCTGAAAACCTTTCATCCTTGCCTACCACCCAGTTCCCCTTCTCTACTGGGAAAAATATTTTTCTCTGCCTTTTGAGGTATCCTTTTAAAAAATCCTAGTGCTTGTTTAGAGTTCTTTGTCTTTAATCCTCTAAAGAGAATATTTGAGGTCACTTATCACATCTGACCCTAATCTATATTGAAAAAGCTATTGATTTTAATTATATACTTAAACTATTACAGAAATCACAGTGACTCTTAATCAAAGTTAAAACAGCATTACTATAGGTTGTACGTGATACAATTAAACACTTGAGGGATATCCTGTCATGAGGATATATGTTAAACAGGCTATGATATCTAGAAAAATCTTTGGTCAAACAATTATTGTTTTTTAATAATATCAATTATTAGGTAAGAAAGCAGTTTTACATTCAGTGGTTATTTAACGAGTATGGATTTTTTTTATGAAAAACATAATGCCTGAAAAATTGAAACATGATTAATACAATAATCTCTACCCATGGAATCTATTGGCCATTGCTTTTTTGTAAGTTATTTGTGGTAACTATGATGACCCATTTGAAATTTCCACTGTCAGTACCTTTGAGACCTTTGTGGTCTCTTGACTTGTAACTCTCCCAGAACCATTTCTAAATTGTGAGGAGTCTTCAGCTTCTACCCCTTAGTTCTAACTCAGTACCATAAGGAAGATAATTAATTTGAGTCATAGCTCTAAATTGTTTTATATGTGGTAGTGGCCTCTTAGCTAGTGGTTTATTCTGTACCTTTAAAATAATGAAGACGGAAATGCTCACATATGAGGAGAAATTCTTCATAAACATCTACCTGATGTTTAGGCTTATCTGCAAGACAGAGGGCAGAAGATGAATTGCACATAGAAGATTGCATTAGGAAAAGTGATTCCTTGCCCTTGACCTTGCCTTGCAATCTTACCATGACTCAGATTTCACCCATTGTATCTGATAAGGATTTTATTTTCCCAGTTAGACTTAGCCTTGAGAGAGGGTTAACATCACAGAACACAAATCAGTCATTTGGGGTATGTTTTTAAGAGTAATGGTTAAGTAGTTTTTAAGACCCTCTGTATCTTTGAACAATTGGTTTGTCTGCTGGACACTTCCTTTGGCTCTCTAAGTTTCAGAATATGCACAGGGTTAGAAGACATCAGCTGAAATTTCATTCAGTGACAGTACTGTTTAAAACAGCCTTTAAGGATGAAAAATACATTTTTAGAAGGCTACCAAGAAGTCTTAGCAAATGCCTCACAGTGAATATTTTGTTTTAAAAAATATTCCCATCCATTTTGAAAGTCATGCAATATGAAATATTCCCTTAATTATAAAATCCAGTGTATCAGTGTCTCAAAAATAGTTTAGAATAATTTTAGTACCTTGAATATATATTTGTTTTTTGAGGAAGATTCGTATGAGTGAGCACAGTTGAGCTATTTGGTTCATGTAAGCACTTGTAGCGGTGTTATTTGAATTCTGGAGAAATTTGTGACAAAATGTATGAGGGCTGCAACCTCACCTGTAAGTGGTGTATCCTTTGATTAAGGAAAACAGACAAATAGGAAGTTCCCAACACTTTAGAATCAACTATAGGGATGCAGAGGAAAATAGAGAATCTTGGAGTTTTGCCTTAAATTTGGCAAAAGAAGCAAGATTTTCAAATAGTTACCGATGGAAATAGTAGAGGAAAGCCCAGGTTCAGGAAAGCATCTGTAGGTTTAATGATCTAGGAAACCCGATAGTGCTTTACAGGGCTTTTATTTCCTTGCTCCACCAGCTAATTCTGGATGTATAAACAGTTATTTGAACCCAGGAAATGTCTGCTTCAATATTAATACCAATGACAAGTGCGAGGTTTAATTTAGCTGCCAGCATTTAAGTGGTGGTCACCAGACCAATGATAATGTGAATCTCACTTTATTGACAAAATGGAGCACCTGGTGCCTGGATACACAGGAGTATCACAGAATACTTCTTGCTGATCCACAGAGGGAAAGACATCTGACCACACAAATCTTGGGACTGGGACCCCGGACTCCACAAGAGAAAGTGGGCAAAAGTGTAATGTACAGGTAACATAGATGATGTAGTCTCAGCACTAGAAGCTTTGTGGTTTCCAACTTTTCTGAAAACAGTGTTTCTTCCCTTCACTGTGCAGCCCACAGTGTAGGCCTGGGCCCAGAATTTCTGTGTTAACCCTTAAATACGTGGGAATAAAAACATTCACTTCTTTATTTTAATGTTTATTGGTGGCCAAGGAGGTGATCTTTTTTTTTTTTTAAAATATACTTTTTTTAAAAACCAGGAGCAAATCTACAAATCTTGATTGTAAATAGATTTCCCTAAAGACAAGAGCCTAGGATCGATTCCACAGGAGAGGGGAGGGTTCAGAAAGGCTTCATCCAGTAGGTGAGACTTGGGCTGGACTCTGTGCGGTGACTAGGTGATCACCAAGCAGATATGGCGAAGGCATTTCACACAGTGCATAGTGAGCTGGCTGAGATGGGGAGTAGCAAGTAGTTAGGGGTGCTACTACCCACCTGATAGGACGTTAGGATTAAATGAGATAATTAAGATAAAGCACCCTATAAACATTAGTTACTGGTGTAATAGTGATTCATGGAGCAGTAGTTTGAATTGCAGCAGTTTAAGCCACATTCTTAAATGTATTATCATTTTAATGTGTATTTCTGTTTTTATATCAAACTTTCTGGAACAGTTAAAACTAGTTGTTTACCAGACAGACTAAAAATGAACGTTAGTAGCTTAAATTCATGTTTTAGAGGTCTTTTCTTAGACCTTTGTAAACAAGAAAGTAATTGGTTAAAAATAAAACTCAGTTCTGAAGAAATACTTGTTTTCCTGTTAATCTTCTTTTAAAAATGGGGAATGATATTGAGAGATGATGCAAGATGATCAGTTTAATTAAATAAAATATACCATTTGGTTACGAAGACAACTATAAGCTTTGAAATTAATATTTTGACTTAGAAAACTTCCTTCTCAAATACAGATAATAGAAAGACTATGAAGAAATGATATATTGGACAGACACGTTGAAAAGAACCCTTGCTCAAGTCTGATTTTAGGGTTACTTAGAGAACTGTGTGATGGCAGACTTTGTCCATGCTGTTATTACATAACTACAGTTTCCCCCAGGTAGTTGCATTTTGCTTGAGTGTCCATTTAGGATATCTGGCATTTATACTGTAATATACAAAAAGATAGCTTATATGAAACATCTGTATCATACTAGTGTGTAGTACTGTACTACACACACAAATATGTTTTAGTCTGTCAGTTGGTCAGATATTTATTGGGCATTCCTTGATGCAAAGTCCAGTTATCAGGACTAAAACAGACAGGTCTTGCCCTCAGTGAGTTCACTGTCAAGGTAAAGAAATGAAAACAAAGATGTCAGAGACTACTATAAAATAAGTGTGAACTACTTAGTTGCCAAAGGACAACCCTGTTTCTTAAGAACTGGGACATGGAATTCAAAGTTATATAGCATTGGAGTGATCACATTTCCCATAGGACAGATGGATGCAGGTTTGGGATCAGGTTTTTTCATTCAATAGGAAATACTATACTGATGTAAGCAAGGAAAAATCCCCTAAAGATGAAATGGAAAGTGTTTGTTATTCAGCAACTATGGGAAGTGTCTGGTGCTGAGGTAACTCCAATGACATTTACTAAGGTACCTTTTACTCATTAATATCACTGCGTGCTAGTATAAATCCATCCTGTCTGGGAACTGCATATGTTTTCATGAAAAAAAAGTGCACATCCCAATGGGCATTTTGGTGTGGAAGCCAAATGGCTGTTTATCAAGAAACTTCACAGCAAGAATTCACTACAGTCTAGTGCAGGGCTTCTAATTCTGGGATCCATGGTTCTACAAATCACATGTAAAATCTTATATCGCTGCTTTTTTTTTCGGAGGGAGGAATCCCTAGTGTTCATTAGAAACACCAAAGAAAAAAAAGTAATGCAAAAACATGCAGTTTTTATTATATGATCAGACCCCTGGCCCTTTATCCAACATACGTTTAAATATCCCACTTATAATTTATGCCCCACACTATGCTCGGTCCTATGGTGCAACGCAGTGAGTGAGCCTCTGTGGAATGTTTCAAAATCTGAAGTGTTTTGACAGTTAATAAGTTCATTATGTTTGTGCATTTATTACTATACTTTAATAAAATAAGGATATATTAAATCATATAAGACTTAATAATAATCATTTCTCCCAATTTACAGAAGAATAAAACAACTGTTAACATTAATATTGTCTATAACAAATTATTTGATTAGTCTTCCTATTTTTCACTTATTTTTATGTGTGAACCTTCCCTTATCTTTTTGATGATGAATATGTATTCTGCTAGGAAAATTATAAGCATATAATGCTCAAATTGACATTTGAGGATATAGTAAGTTGTAGAGCCAGGATTCAAACACGGTTCACCCTGCAATATAGCACTTACCAGAATTCAGTGAACATAAGTCTGACAATTTATGTGATAAGGGACGTTTTCTTCCTAGTCTCTGGTGACATATTTGCAGCAGTTTTGTATACAATTAAACACAGCACTCGTGATTGCCATCAATTAATTGGAGACCTTAGCTTTTTATCATCCACTTGTTTTTCTTTTCCTCTTTCTACTCATAAAGAGCGTGAAAATATTTACATAGTTGTACACGTACTGCCAAACAGCAAAAATGGCACATTATTGAAACTGACCTGGCTGGCAGGCAGCCCCCTTTTATGCGGTAAATTTAAAATGTTTCTCAAGTAGATGTACAAAACGATGTGAAAAGCTGTTTGTGATAGCAGTAATGTTCGTGATTATGGATTGTTTGAAGTAGTAACTACGTGGAATCCTTACTCTTTAGCCAAGC